CAGATATAGGGTAGGGCAAGTACTTTGTTTCAATATGATGTTTAACACTTCATATGTTTTTATTTCAGTCGCCTTGAAAACATGCTAGTAAACATCCAAACATACTGTAAAGATTTAAAATTCGGTGTGTGTATACATATATCAACAGGAGTTATGAATTATGCATATCCCAAGCCTATATAAATTAGATTTTGAAGAACAAGTATCACAGTAGTCAGGCAGGTCATAATAAGACATTCCATGTGAAATGTAAAAACTACCTTGAATAAATTATCCATAAGTTAACACTCTCATTAGAATGACATATTTATTATTTCTGGGTTTGTGAAGTTGCTTTAATGTATTTTGGCTAACTGTTCTAATGGCACATTAAGAAACCATTTTAGGCCTTTTTTCGCCATTGGAATTTGCAGACTTTTATTCACATTTGAATTAAAATAATATAATACTAAAAATAATCACCCATTTCCCTATGTAGAATACCATTTTCTTCTGTCCAGAAACATTTAATTAAAGGAGGAAATAACTTTAGTAATTATTTTTGCACAGAATAATTCTAAAATTAATAGTCAATTGTAAGACTGTTTAAAAATTGGGAAGCTGACAATCAAAACAATCTTACATGCTTTATTTATGTGATGAAAAGGAGTGATCCTTTAATTCCCTCACACACATTAAACTGATTTCACAGACTTTCTGTACTGATGTTTAACATAGTCAAGTGCTTGAGGTTACGTAAAATAAACAATCTCGAGATCTTATTGCAAATGTTTGCAATCTGTGATGTAAACTGATTTGTGAAGAAAAAACAGGATCCTATGTCGCTAAAGCCAAAAAGGCATTTTTCAGAAATCAAAATAGTCCCGAAACTTGAGCATTGCATTATACTAAAGTATTACCATCTGAGGATCTAAAAAGTTATAAATCTGGGGAAAAACTCAAAATAGATGTGTTTCAATTCAGCTCCAAGCAAAGGCCTCCTATCTTACTGGACCTCTTGTATCATAGGCTCCTTAATACTACTGATGTCTTGAACGATCTCTTTTAACTACGTTTTGCCCTGTCAAGGATTTTGTAAGCCTTTGCACGTTCCGGAAGATTGAAGGGGTGGGGATGGGAATCCTTTATTCATTATTTATTAGGATTATTGAGTTTGCGACCAAAGAACGTGCATGTTGGGCCTTAATTAAATTTAAAGTGAATATTTCCTCGGACATCTCAGCATGGCTTGGTGAACTGGGAGTGTGGACTTCTTTTTCACACAGCGAGGCGCCTGCCCGAGAGTTTGGCCCTGGCGCTGCGGGAAAGCGAGCCCGGCGCGAGCGAGTGTGGGAGCCTGGACCGAAGGACAAGGCCCCACAGGCTGAGGGAAAGTGGCCTCTGTCCCTCCGCGAGTCTTGGGGGAGCGGACGCGGGAGGAGGCAAGGGCGCTGCCGCGAGCGCCCCAGGGCGCTGGGCCCACAGGCCGCGCACGGCTCGAGTACTGACGTCTGGGCCAAGAAACTTTGACCTTTCTCGCCCGCCCTGGCTGCCTCCTCCGGCCCCTCTGCCTACGGCGCTCCCGCCCAGGCCCGGGCCCGACCCGTGAGGGGCTCCACGCTTGACCCACTCAGCTCCCGCGGCCGGGACGTCCCAGGCCGCCCCAGGCCTCATCGCCGCGGCCCTGTCCGGGTGCAGGGCGCCTCCGCCCGCGGGGCCCGGACGCACCGCTTCCCTTGACCTCGGCTTCCCACCAGCTCCGCCGCCGGGGACAGGCTGGGCCGGGGACCGAAATGCCATCTCCCCTGCCCCAGGTTTCCCTGCTATGACCTCCGAGCTCCCCCAAGGAGCCCGCGCACTGGGGGCTGGGTTAGGTCGGGGATCGGACCCCGCCTGCACCGACCGAGCCGACCGCAGCTCGCCCGAGGCCAGAGGGCGGAGGAGGGCGGCGCTGCCGCTTCAGGGCGCATCACGCCCCCAGGCAGATGTTTATTATAAAAACTACAGAGACCTTCTTCAACCGAGAGACCCACAAGACCTGAGCGCCGAAAACGGCCAAGTCCTGTTCAATGGTCTTTGAAAGTTAAAAGAAAGATATAAACCTATGGCAACGTCTAGGCTGAGGAACAGCTTTGAACGCGAGCTCGGACCCGGAAAGCGCCGGGCGGGGATGGCGGGGAATACTGCTGGAGGATGCGGGGCTTTGTCGGGGTCTCTACGAGCCCTCCGGCCGAGGGGAGGGGGCACAGAGGACGCTCCCTCAGTCCTCGCGGAGTGTCCCGCATCCCAGGAGCCTGAGCGGGAAGGGAAGGTCCTGTCTCAGACCTGGCGGGGGTCGGATCCCCACGGTCTCTACCCGCCCCCGCCCCCGCCCCCAAAACAGGCGGGCAGCGCCTTTGGGTTTTACTGGTGGGATTTTTTCCAGAAGAAAAGGGCCAAGAGGTAGGGAGAGAAAGAGCTCCTCGGTATTCTGAGGACAGTTAAGACTGGGTTTTTCCTAAACACCGTCCTGGCTTCCACCTTCTCAAATTAATCGATGAAGAAGCTGTTTCTGCCAAAGCGCTAATAAGAGAGGTAGGGGGCCCAACCTCCACACTGCCCCCCACCCGCCGCGGCTCTTCGCCGCTCCCAGGCCGGCACCTGCCCCGCCCCAGAGAGGGTCAGCGACCTGGGACCGCCTGTGGATTATGCCATACCAAACCCAGGAATATTTTGCACCGTGATCCCTCTTTCTGTCCTCCCAAAATGTCCCCACATAAACTTCAAGGGCGAAAGTATAGCAAAGTGAAGAACGAGAGTCCGTTTGAGGGAAAGAGGTTGTTCTATCCTATGTTACTTTACTTATTATGTGTTCCTTTATCGGTTTAGTATAATCGGTTTCTATCCTAGGTGGACAAAAAGTGGGGGACGGTGGAAGACGCACTCAGCGTTAGCGAGGGCCACAGTCACAGCCACCCTTATTACTACCCCTTGAATGGGGTACGTAAGAGCAGAGCCCCGGGCTTTTCCAAGTTGGCATATTAGAGAGATAGATAGATAGAAGGTACACATTCATCAAAAAGGAAGAGGGAAAGACTATCCCGGATATTTTAATAGTAACAGGAACAAAGATGACGCGAACCCCATCAAATGAAACAATACTATTTTCATTCAATTGATCGCAAAGTGTCTTCAATTAATAACTTGGCACTTATTTAAAAGGTTTAACAGAGTTGAAGCTGAAACATTTTGTACTGACAACACGTCATGAGATAACATCTTTTGTTTAAAATAACTTAATACACTAGAAAAAATATGGCAAATATAAATAATTTTGTTTTCATGGAGAACAAATAGTTACAAAGCTCAACCACATACCAAAGTTCAGTTAGAAGAGCTTTTCCTCTTTCTTGTAAATTAGAAGAAAAAAAAAAAACTAAGGAGGCTTGCTAGCGAATTGGGATACAGATTGCTTAATCCAGGGTATCCCAGTTTAAATAGCTACATAAATTGAAACAGCCAAAAAAAGATTACTTGAAAAGATACACCTTTGTGAGATGAAATGCAAATGTTGAAAGTCAACCATCAGTTCACACATTATAGCCAAAATAAAACTTTGTTCGTGTATATCAACATATTTTATACAAACCTAGTGCCTGTATCTAGCTGGGTGTCGTTTAAGGTGGATTTGACGGGATAGAGAGGGGTAAATAAAGCACAGTCCTCAAATAGGACTTGAGGAAACCAGCAAGAGGGAATACAAGAAAAGGGGAGTGGCGGGAGCTAACGTTGCGCGCCTACTAAGTGTCAAGCACCGTGCGGCGCTGTACCTCCATTATTTCATTCGGTTGTCTTTTCTTTTTCCTATCCCCATATTTTCTGCCTGCCTCTGTCTTCTTGGGACAGAGCGTAAATGTTTTCCCTTCCCGACTTTTTTCTTTTGTTCCCCAGGATCAAAGACAGGGCAAAAAATATATGTGGATATATATCAATTTCCAGACGCTTTTGGTATTGTTTTTCACACTGAAGATGAAAATGGAGTGAGTGCACGTGATTAAAGGGGGAAGGGGGGAGACACCATCAATGGAATACAAATAACATGCAAACCAGAATTTAGTGTCAGCAGTCCGGACAGTTCTGCTATAATAATTTTTCAGAGAACTTGTCTGTGGCATATTTTTGTATCAATATTCTTTTTTTCTCTCCTTGTTTTTACACTGTCTTCCCTCTTCTTGTTCTTCCAATACAAGGTGGGTTTAAACTCAAAGCATCTGATTAAACGTAAAAGGAGGCCCGCCTCTCTTATCAAATTTCTCATATTAACGTGAACTTCGCAGAAAAAAGGTCAGTTTCAAAACCTGTGAACTTCCCAGCTGCGCACTTTTTTCATCTTAGTTTTTTAAATAAGTATACCTCTTCCTTCTGTTTTGCCTTCTTAGCCCATTAAAAAAAAAAAAACCATATATTTAAGTTGGTAACCTACCCCCGCCCCCACTCTCTCGAGATTCGTCCGGGTTATTTTTCCATATTTTTAAATGTATAAAATATTTTAATAACTCCTGTCGCTCTCCGATTTCAGTTTCTGCCAAACAGCAATAAGAAATAAGTTCCCTTTCTCTTTTTCTCTCTGGTTTGTCTTTTCTATTTTTTAAAATGTTTTTGCTCATTTTTTATTGTTAACAAGATTTTATTTCTATGCAAGAGTCCACCGTTGCAGCCTTCTCGTGCGTGAGCCACACTCCGCGGTTCCAGCACTCCCTTGTCCAGTCTCTCTCCAGATTTCCCCAAACCCGCTCCTACAAAACCGAATTCTAGGGCCTTGGGTAGGAAAGCGGGCAGGAGCCACTGAGCTGGTGCGCCTCGTGGGATCCCGGGTCCTGTGTGGAGTCCGGCCCTCCAAGTCCGGGATGCGAAAGGGGATAAGGAGTGGAAAGAGGGCAGGCTCCGGAGGTCGGAAGAGGGTAACGGAGAAGCAGCGGGGCGAAGAGAGCGTGCAGGCTGAGCGCCGCGCGGGAAGCGCGACACTGACGCTGGCGTTGGTGTCACAGACCCAGGGCGGCCGCGTGCTTTTTGGCTTTCAGTCTGAGATCGGCGATGCTGGAGTTCTTGCTGGTGGTCTTAGCGGCGGCGGCAGCTGCCACAACCGAGGCGGCGGAGGCCGAGTCCGCGGCCAGCGTGGCAAGCGGCAGTCCGAAGGGCGGCGCTGGGAACATCATGTATGGCGCGTGCGCGGCCAGGTGTGGGTGCAGGTGGTGGTGCGCGTGCGCCACAGCGCTGTCCAGCTGCAGCTGCGCCTGAACCTGAAAGGACAAGGGCGTCACGTTGCAATGACTATCCTAGGGTGACAACAGAATAGAAACAGAGCATTAACGGCGTCCAGCTTGGCTAGGGGAAGGTTGGGTTGGGATAGGGGATGGGGAGGGGGCGTTTGGCTGCACATCTTATTCCAAGAGTGACCTTCTCAGCCTGTTGCTGATCTGGAGTGTCACACAGATACTCCAGTGCTCCCTGGACCCACTCAGCCTGGGCTTATTTCCCTGGAACCCCGGGACCGCCGTTGGGCTGAAATGGTATATTGAAAAGACTGGGGGTGAGGGCTATTACCCTCATCTCCTGCTGCTGCTCTACACCTCTTACCCCATTCCTAAAGCACCAAAGTACAAGCAAACTACAAAACTTTTTCATGTCACTTAGGGAAGTCATTGCATCTTCACAACTAGCACAACTGTGAGTCAGTACTTCTAAACTTCACTGCCATAGAATTAACTGGGGATCTTGTTAAAATGCGGATTCTGATTCATAAGGTCTAGGTTGGAGCCCAAGATTCTGAATTTCTAACAATCTTCCAGATGGTACTGCCACTGGCACAAGATCACTTTCTAAGAGTCACCTTTTAAGGTCCCCCATCCCTGTTTCTCCAGTCACTCTCTTGTTTCAAAAGCCCGGCATCAGGATGCCAGAATCCTGTGGCACCATAAGAGCTAAGATCTCCCTAACACTAACTCTCAATACAAGGGCACACCCAGGTGTCTCCCCAGTCCAGGGCTCCGGTGACTGGGAGCTAATTCATGACAACATAGTCATGCCAAGCAGGGGCCCTGGCTGGCTGAGGATGGGGTAGGTCAGTTGCTGGTTGGGAAAGGAATTCTTCCCCAGGCTTGGAGAGCAAGGAGTTCAGAGCACTGAGATTTCCTAGGATTAAATCATTGCTGCAGTCTGTCCTTTTAAAACGTACTCTTAAAGGTTTCTTTATGGCTAAGAAAGGGATTGCAGAGGCAGGATGGCTTTAGTAAGACTAACAGTTCCCTCTGTACCAGAGATAAAGCTTTGTTTTCAGAGGTAGCTCTTAAAGAAACAAGTCTGAGTTAGGAGTACTTGTATTTATTTTTCTTCTGTCAGAGACATTTAATGTGACTAAGGGTAGAAAATACCTAGGAAAATATTTAGAGGGGTGTCTTAGAAATACCTTAGGACTAACCTCTGTATTGGATTTGACAAAATCTTAATCAAAAGGCTTTTCCTTCCTTACCCCAGGTACAATCTTTAGCGCATTTTTAAAGAACCAGTTAGTTACTGCCCTCAGGCCCCTGGAGGTTCCCATGAGGACAGAAGGGACTAAGCATCCAGGTTCTTGACACTGTATAGGTTTTTAAAGGGGAGTGGGTCCACTATATCATCTCAAAATTGATTCTCCAACTGCACGGACATGGACATCTGGGCTCAGAGACAGGGAATGTTCAAGAGTTCAAGCAAACATGTTTTTACATTTAAAAACAACTTGAAACTAGGCTGTACTTACCTGTTGAAATGGCATCCTTAAAGCACCTACATTGACATAGGGTGCGACTCTGCAAGCTTCAAACTGGCTGGCGGCCCCTATGAGGACACCTGTAAAGAATAGGAAAACAAAACACAATAATCTAAGGTTAACATTTCTAGCATAGTTTCCCAGGGTTCCAAATGGTACAAGATAGAACTAATTTCGTTGGAATTGGACTGTTATCTTTCTAAACTGTTGTCATAATTAGAATAAATGTAATTGACTCCCAGAGGTTAGGACTCTCATTAACTGCTTTTGGAGAAGATTCTTAAATCAAGGACCACTGTCATCTTTGAGATTTTTTTTCTGTCTTTGTAATAACAATTTTCCCCACTTCTCTTTTGACTTAAAATATAAAATATTCCTTATATCAGAAGCATACCTTTATGGAGTTGATTTTCTTGTTTTCTACATTTAGCTCTTCGATTTTGAAACCAAACCTACAAGTTAGAGAGAAAAAATATAAAACCTAGATGTTACGACTCAATTTTTTTTTTTAATTATAAGAGTACAAAGAGAAAAGAATAGTGTTTTAGGCAAGGATTGGGAGACATAGCGAGCAATCTTTGAATTATACAAAACAGCCTCAATTTCCAAAGTTAAAAATGTAAATGAACTACAAAAATAGAAAGATAAATTTCATAGACTTTTCCAGATAAATTGTTTCTTGAGAGATTACTGTTAGTCCTGGTTTTATCTTTTCACATAATAGAGTCCCCAAGGCCTAAAACTCTCCCTGGTACCTGATACCAACATCATAATGGATTTAGATGTTTGCCCAGTTAAGACCTGAGAAGAATGTGCTCATTAATAGCCTGTAATATTAATTAGCTTCATCTTAAAGAAAAACCAAACACCAAAGCAAATAATGACTCTTGGAGGGGGGAGAGTTTTGAGGGTGGGGGAAAGGTAATTAGTGTTATAAAAGCCTCACTACAAAGAAGTTTAGAATTTCTCTGTTCCTCTGTGCAGCAGAGTGTAACGCAGTAGCAGAATAATTGTCTGCTATTATCATGATAATCTAATTCGCTTCTATAGAAAAAGCCACTGCTTGCAGTTAGGATAGTAGGGAAACATCTAGAAAATAGCTCTAAAACTTAAATAAATGTATGAAAAGAGCAAAGAACAACAATAAAGTTCACTTCTTAAGAGAAAAAAAGAAGAGCACTCTGAAAAAGGGGTGTGGGGTATGAATCAAGTCACTCCTAGATACTACCTTTTCCTGGATGTTACCTTCTTAAATAAACTTGCCACCTTTTACAGACAGTATGACAGGTTTTAAAAATTAAAATAAAGCTTGTTTTTATACTCCAGTTTGAATGATACAGCATATTGATTGATTCACAAATTAATGTTTTTAAAAACCCATGAAAGTAAAATATTGCTTCAGAGCTTTTACTGGTATGTTTTTGAAGTCAGGTGTCACAGTCAATGTAAATCTTCAAAAATTCCCCTGCTATTTCCTATAATAGAAGGGTGGATTTCATGCCAGGGTGGCATCCTTTGTGTAATTCACATGGCCTGAGGCTTCTTGCCTCTTTTTTTCCCCTAGAAGAGTTGAAATTGAGATACTAATAATCATACTGTAATAATTATCATCATGTTTTTAAAGGGTTGCTGAGCCTCTAGAGATCTCAGTGCACAGAGCAAAGCAAGAGAGGCTTAAAAAGGAAGGCTCTGCTGACGCTGTGATGACCAAGGCAGCCTATTATTACTTTTCCCCTTCAACGTGACTGCTCTGGTTTTTTCCTGATCCTATTACAAGATTGGGGAAGCCCCATAAGAATTGTGCATAGTTCGCTACAGATGGTGGTCTCTGCGCCCAGAGACCCGGGGAGTATCTGTTACAGTGATACTTTGTAACAGCTGCAGATGTTCGGCCTAAAACTGCTCCATGTGTTCAAACAAATAATGACCATCATTTTCTCCTATTTTATATGAGCGGAAATACAATCTGAAACATTTAAATTTGTTCGCCACAAAGCTAGAAGGATATATATATATATATATATATATGCATATAATTTTACCCTTTGCCCATGCTATTATATTCACCTCCACAATCAATAAAGAAAATCTTCACTCCTAACTTAACAGGCTCTTGCTGGGGGTCAGGCTTTGGAAACACCAATATTAAGATATGTGCGTTGTTTTAAAATTGAGTTTCTGTAGGTTCAGTTTCCTTGCCTTGGTTAAGCGAACAAAGAAAGAGTGGCCAAAATGCGTTTATTTCTCTGCTGTTTCACACATAGTTTCAGATCGACCGCTAACAGCAGACTGTAAATTTAGCACTTAACAGTTGCTAATTTTCTTTATAGTCTGTACTTCTATAAACCTAATTGGCATATCCGCTTGGCAAACCTAGGCCCCGGAGCAGACCTTGAATGAAACCCAACTCAGGCCAGCAAAATACTCGTTGTAACTTTTAAGGCATCCAGAGATAAAACGTTTTCTGTGGGATATTTTTTTAAGCCTTATAAAAGTAGGCCCATTAGGATTAAACCACATTAAAGCCAGCGCGAGGCGAGGGGGGTGTGGTTTATAGAAACTCTGGGAGCAAGCCCAGCACAGCTTTCTTCTGCTGGGAACATATGTTGGGATGGGAAAGGGGGGGGGCGGTTAGGACTAAGATTTACTTTGGAAAATAAGATCTCTAGTAAAGATGCCCCTTTCCTTCTCATCTTACACCAGACACTTGAACCCGCACCCTCAGCGTGTATCCCCAAGGAACCTCTCCAACCCCAGGCGTATTCCCTCTCTGCTCCCTGGGCCCTAGACCTCGTAGCTGGGTACCTGCACTCGGGCCTCCGACAGCCCCAGCCGCTGGCTCAGTTCCTCGCGCATGAAGGCATCCGGATAGTGGGTCTCGTCAAAAAGCCTCTCCAGCTCGTTGAGTTGTTCCAGGGTGAAATTGGTCCGACTTCGCCTCTGTTTGATCTTGGTCTGGCCTTCGTCCTCCATCCCTTTCGCATCCTCTTTGCGATCCTTCAGCTCCGGGGACACTGAAGGAAGCACCACGGACGGGGCCACACGTGCGTCCACGCACACACGACAACACGCGCGCGCACACACACACATACACACACACGGATAAAAACAGCACAGCAAATCCTGTTACCAAATTTGTCTCAAATAATAGAAAAATCTTCTTTCCCCCTTCCAGAATCTTGGTCCAAGTCCTCACACCTACCAGAGGAAAAAGATTCTGGACTCGCACAAAGGTCAAGTCTGGGTGGCCGCCCGGGCGCAAGATGGGCATTCACCCACCCACCTCCTCCGCGGCCTCAGCTCACTACCTCACTATCCCACGGTCTCCTGCCCTCCCCAGCACACACTAAATGCTTTCCACTCACCCTCTCTCACACTCACTCTGTCCCAAGCACTCACAAATATCAAAAGCGCCGCGCCAGGCCTCTCACCGAGCGCGGTCTGGGCAGAAGGGCGCGGCAAGGCCACCCACAGACCTCTCACACTGGCCATTCCCAGAGGGCTGGCCTGTTCTCAGGCAGGCTCTCACCGCCGCTGGCTCTCTGACTCCTGCAAACTTGCTGGTCCAATTTAGGAACAATTGGGCCGAAGGCTAGCAGCGGGAGAACAAGACCCTGGTGCTGTGCTGCATCCCCAGGAGCCCCACGTTGCCCCAGGGCTCGAACCAAACCCTGAGGACGGCCTCGTGGGCAGCCAGGTAGTCCCCATCCCCGCTGCCGGACCAGGGTCGCAGGAGCACGGGCGCCCACGCCATGTTGGCGGCCTAAAGCGCTCCTCGCCCACGCCGGGCCAGAAGGCAAGAGGCGGAAAACCAGCCTCGGGTGACGCGTGAAACCGCCCGCTGCCTCTGTTCTCTCCTTCTCCCTTGTCCATGGAAACGCAGACCCGACCCTAAACGCTTAACCCACAGAGATCAACAGGTTCAAGCGGAATATTCGCGATCCTCCGTTTCTATTGGTTGCTCAAAGCCTTTTCATGCATCCAACAGCTCGGATGTTTAATAAAATATGCATTTTTCTGTTCTGGGTTTGCACACATCCGTTGCTACTTTCCTGTCCTCTTCCCTTTAAAAACAGGAGCTCTGCCAGTGCGAGTATACAGAGCAACCCGAGGGGTGTGTGATTGTGTGTGCATATGCATTGTGTGTGAGTGTATATATATAGCCAAAAGGGACAATCAACATAAGGTTCCCCTGGAACCTTTATCCTCTGCGCCTAAGTCGGAGACTTGGGTTTTTAAGGTGTCAAAGCTGAGTTTGGATAGTCGAAGCTGTTTGCAGTTCTTTCCAACGCAGGATACCAATCAGCATGGGTGTTAAAAATCATTTCCTGGGAAGAGCTGGTCTGCAGAAAAATTAATACCTGCCCAGACCTTGGAAATCAATTGCAGGAACCGCGCGCGCCCGGGGTTCAGACCCTGACTTAGCTGTCAGGCGCGCTGGCGAACCCAGGGCCTGGAGCTATGGGCTCATGGGGGGAAAGGCTGCACTGAGCCCCCTGACAGTTATTCTATCACTTTCCAAATTTAGGAGGATCTGGTGTTAGGGCTGGGAAGAAAAAGTCGCTAGATCTCAGCCCAGCCGGGCGTTGTAACTACAGTGATCTTAAGTGTTGCCCGCATTTCTAGTTCTCCGAGTTCGTTTTGTGGACATTTTGTCCTTTCCTCAGGAAGGAATTGGATTACATTCTAATAAACATTAGAGGCCAATTTAATAGGAAAATATTTCCACTGATATTGTAGTGAAATTGAAATATGAAAACACACCCTTCAGATTCTGCCAAAGGGGTGAGAAGGCTTTGTCTATTACTTGTCATCCACACAGTGGATGCCCCTCAAAGTTTTGAGGCTTCAAAGAGAAACATGCCCAAATATCAAGTTGATTAATAGACTTAATATAATCTCTATTTCGTTCCCAAATTTCCACTTAATGGTCTAAACAGGAACAGACCGTGTTATAAACAACTTAATTGCTTGCTTAAATATGTGATTCTACGCATGCCACATATTTTCTTAATTGGAAAAATATGGCAGTACACCAGTTACTGCAGGCACCAAGTGCCAAATTAATTTTATTGTTGAACTCTTTTGCATTGGTACAGGACGCTCTACCGTTTAGATAACGGCATTTCCTATCTCCTGCTGGCATCAAAGGATTTTTCCTTTACAAAATCAGAGGATTGGATGATTCCAAACAGCAAATATCGAAAAACAACCCACCAAAAAGAAACCTAAACGCCTTGCCAGGGAGAAGCACTGTAGCCTGGACCTTAGCTTGCCTTGGATTCGTTCTGCCTTCATAGCTCAAAGAAAATGGGAAGTTTGGGCCCCTAAGATCCAAAGATTCCGGGTCTTTGTGGAGTTCAAGGGATCTTGGTGGTCCCAAACCCTGGGGCGACCTCAGGGTGAAGCTTCTCTCTCTCCCTCTCTCCCCTTCTCTCTCAGGCCTAGGGAAAAAGCTCCCGCAAACTCGGCGCTAGATGCTAGCCTTAATCAGCCGCCTGGTCCATCACCCTCTCCCGTAGCCCGCCCCGCGAACTTTCACGTCCGCCTGCGGGCCATCCCGGCTGCCGGCCCACCATCCGGCTGGTGAAAAATGCATTTCGGTGGAATGGGAGCATCTGGGAAGGGCGCGCACAAACCCCACACGCTCTCATCCCACCCCCCACCACACGCACACTAGGACCCCACCCACGACCATGCACACCGCTGGACACCTACCCCTCTACTCTCACTCTAGCTTCCAAAGCTGGGGTCTAGGGCCCTTTCTGCGTCCCGCCCCTCCTCCCCGCTGGGCCTCAGGGTCCTCTCCCGCCCGAGAGGAGTCAGGAAGGCGGGAGGGGGAACCGCGGCCGGGGTCAGGCCGTTACCCTCGGTAAGCCGCGGGCTGCCCGGCTCCCTGCTTCTCTCGGCAGCGCCCATGTCCAGCTCCCGGACGGGAGAGCGCCCTCCTCCAGCTCCTCCGCCTGCTCCTCCTCCTCCTGCACCTCCTCCGCCTCCTCCGCCTCCGCCTCCTCCTCCTCCGCCGCCGCCTCCGCCGGCCGCCCGGACTGCCGGGCTGCTGCGTTCGTCGCGGCCCGACTCCGCGCAGCCGGTGGGCTCCTTGGCCCCGCGCAGCGGCCCGCTCTCCAGCACCTCTCGGTACGTGATCGCCTCCTTCTTCTCCTTCACTTTCTGGTCAAAAGACTTGGAGACGAACGCCGTAAGTTCTTCCATCGCCGCCGCCGCCCGTCAGCCCCGCGCTCAACCGCTCCCAGCCGAGCCCTGCTCTTTTTTTCCTTCTTCTTTTTTTACTGCTCCAGCCCCCCCAATAATAACACATCAATGGGACAGGAGGTGGGGGAGGAGAGGAAGGAAGAGGAAGAAGAAGAAAAAGAGGAGAAGAAAGAAGAAAGAGGAGAAGTAGAAGAAGAAAAAAGAAGTAAGAAGAGGAGGAGGAGGAAGAGGAGGAGGGGGAGGAGGAGGAAGAGGAGGAGAAGGAGGAGAAGAGGAGGGGCGGGAGCCGCCGGAGGGAAATGGGAACTGATGCTTCCCTGCCTGAGCGCGCTTGTTCAATGTTAAGATCTTTGACAATTCTTCCAGCGGAGAGTTCAGATCTGATAGCGACGCTGCGCTTGAAGTCTCACTATTTATACTTCCTAAAGGCGGCCCCTTGTTCTGAGTAAATTACCTCCCCTTGCAACTCGGAGTGAGCCCCCTTCCCGGGTAGCAGCAGTTGCGCCACTACCTGGGGGTTGGGGGTGGGGAGAGAGAGAGAGAGAGAGAGAGAGAGAGAGAGAGAGAGAGAGAGAGATTGAGAGAGAGAGATTGAGATTGATTGAGGCTGGAGTCCCGGCCGGCTGAGGCTGGAATGGGAGGGCAGCGCTGGGGGACCAGAGGGGGCGGGGAGAGAAGGCTGGTCCCTGGCCGTTTGGGTTTTCAGATAGCCTCGGTCGCCTTGTGCTCTTGGTCATTAATCCAGGATTGACAAGAATCCCTAATTAATTTAATTAGGCGTGGATTTTGCGTTGGTGTCACGACTTAGTTAAACACTGGGGAGCTGGATGGACTTCGCGGGGTGGGACCAAAAGGAAACTGACAAGTGCGCAGCTCCTGGAGTCAGTCGCGTATCCAGACGCAGCATCCGACCCTACAGCTTTGCCCCGCGTCAGGGTGCCGCGCAATTGCTGGATTTCGCGTTGCTGCCACTGGTCCCTGCCCTGCATCAGCCCCACAGCAGTTAATAGGCCCCGCACCCCACTCCCGCATCCTGACCCCGCATCCCAATCCTGCATCTCCACCCCTTCTCCCCTGCACCCCCTGCTCTCTCCCCCAACTCGGCCCCGCCGTAGCTCCTCCATCCGGCATCATCCTGGCTTCACATCCCGGTTCTGAGTCAGGGCTCTCTGCAGCTTCTCCCACGCGCGCAGCTCCTTTTAGGAGCTTCCCGGCCCGCAGCCAGGATGAGCCCAGGTCTTCACCAAGCTCCTCGCCCCAGTCGGTATAATTCACTCCACTATTCGCATCCTGGAGTTCAAGCCGACTCCTCTATGAGCAGACCCGGCTAGAAGGGGCCAGTTGATTTAACACGTTTCCCGAGCAGCTGTCCCCTGACAGATTTCATTTTAAAGTGTTTCCTTAGCGCCTGGTCAAGGGCAGCTCCACCTCGCTTCCTGTCTGAGGTCTCAGGACTCTCACCCTTCTTCCACGAAACTCCCTGCACCCGGACCCCTCCACGATGAACCACAGGAGCTTTTCTTTAGCATCCTGAGAAACATCCTAGTTGATTTCTTAATTTTGAAAAACTAGAGATTATCCCTCTTCGAGTTTGAAAAAAAAGCGACGTTAAGTTTGTGTCCTATCTAATTTTATTTATTGTGGGCTGTTCAAAGGGACGCTCTCGGGGAGTAAAAGGACTTTCTCTCTCTCTCTCTCTCTCTTTCTCTCTCTCTCTCTCTCACACACACACACACACACACACACACACACACACTCACACAATTTAAAATTCTATTTCTGAACTATTTTAATCGAACAGATTGTTATATGGAAAGAACCCTTATATTCCTGAGTCATTACTCTGTATTGTGCAGGACCGGGCTTGCTGTAAGAAGTGTGGCTATGCAAATATATACTCATAAAAGAATACTTAAATACAGGAAGTTATATTTATTTGAGTGTATAAAGAGATATACCTCTTTAAGTGTGGCTTTGGGAACATTTTTGAGTGCTCTGAATATTAACGCAGGCTTTCCGATGTTAAAGGTAACTTGTTCATCACTCTGAATCTAACACTCTTAGTAAAAATCAAAGCAATTACAGGACATTAATAATGTAGATCTTCCACTCATTGGTTAAGGCATCAAAACAAAGTTAGATAATTTAAGAAGTTCCATCAAAATAACCTGAAACACGTGTAAAAAGAGAACATAATAGTAACTTGATATATTAGTGGTTTCTCAAATATATGTAAATAGAAGCTGTATATAACTTTCTGTTATACTACAGTACACCTCAGATTAAAATGTTCACATTTGGTGAATTTAAGGATGGAAATTATGCTTTTTAGAAATGTTGCTTTGCCTTTTGTTTTCTTGTACTCCGAAGTTATCTTAAAGTTATCTTCTTAAGATATTTCATTTTTTGCTTCATTTAGGAAAGTTAAGAACTTTAAGTTTTCAATAAACTTAAAAGCAGTAGATTTTAGGTATTAATGAATTATATGAGTACTTGCTTTGGTTTTATTACACCACAAAAGAGACTCAAATACTCAAACTTTCCAAAGTTATATGAATTGAGAAACAAATATGATTTCACTATATGTAACCACTGTAATTCTGATGTTATCAGAGGGGAATAATCATAAAACGTTAGTCCTTTATGAAAATCCGTTTTCAAGATTATTTAGCAGAATGAATGAATATGGTGCTCAAGAGCTCTCAAACTGAGGTGTTAAATACATATTCGCAAACGGCCCCCAAATAACCACTATTAGAAATCTGATAAAGGATCAGGAGTCCCATCAGCTATTTCTTTGCTCTTTCAAGTACATGACTTTTAGGTCTGAACTCATATTTAAAGAGTTTGAGGGAAAAATAACCACTTTAAAGATAATCAGGGAAATCTCGGACACAATTGCTGTGTAATTCAAACCAATATGTTTTCCCATGATCTCAGTTTATTGGCTCATTGTATATTTAGGTATACCAGTATTGATATCAGATGGAACTATCAGAAATCCTTAGTGTCTGACCACAGATGCCCACTTGCCTAAGTTTAATTTTAAAAATATAAGGTTTTAAAATCATGTACTAGTAAATGCTCACAAAGTTCTAACAATGTTGTTTCATTAAACAGGAAATATTTTCCAGAAACAGGACATTTCAAAATACAGTTTTGGTAAAAAGCATTGAGGGTAAAGCTCAGCTGACAGCCTGAGGACAGGGTCCAATAAAATTCTAGACCCCAAGGATTCCCCCAGCTCTTGAATTGTTTAAAATTGAATTTTTAAAATAAACATGTAGTGTTGTTGTTAAGTTTTAAAAAGGTCTCTCAAAACTGTCTAGTTAAGGTACAATTATTTATGAAAAATATATTGTGGAGGTGATTTTCACCATGTAAAATGTCTGCAGAAAACTGTAGTTTGGTTATCTAGCAGTTGTGAATGCGTTGGTTCGCAGTCACCCATACCAACCCCAACAGTTCATTTACCTCCTTAGCTTTGCTTACTTACAGTAAATAGGGAAAAAATAATTTTCATGCAAGGAAAAATAAATAATGCAGAATGACTTACAGAAAATGCAGAATCTCTTTAATTTCTATTAATTGAAATAAAAAACTCTGTAAATTTGATTTCTCTTTCAGAAGAAACCTATTCCCACCTTGGCAGCTTTCTCCTATTCCTCTCCCAACCAGTTACTTTAATCTGAGAAACTAATTTGTACCCAACCTGAGTGCCTTCACCTTCAGGGCAGAAGAAACACCGAATTTTAATGCATTTTTGCATATAAATCATTACAATTTAATCACACACGACTCTATACAGACGCAATCCCATGATTTATTATTGTTGGGCGAGTTTCCCCCTCCTCCAGCATGAGCTAACCAATTTTGCTATGTGTGGGTGTCTTAAACATAACTTCCTACAAGGCAGATTTGTTTGCTGATTATATGTGACGATAACGAAGATTACTAAGGGAATAACATCCTCCAGTCCCACCTTTATTGCTTTTTGGGAACAAGAAAATCAAATTAAACAAACACGCAAAACAAACGCCAAACAAAAAATTGGCGGCGTGACAATCTACTCCCTCGGCATTCCTAGCGCCTGGCAGCCTCCATCGATGCACTCGATAGCTCGGCTGCCGCTGCCTGGCACTGTAACCAGGAAGGCGCTGAGCTTAAACTGTAGCAAGTTCGGTGGACACTGGTGGTGCGCTGATCTGAAGAAACATTTTGAGATTTTCGGCGCTAGCACGTCATCCGGAGGTGTGAGCCCGAAGGTCCGGACCCAGGTGATTCCCGCGTCCAGGGCCTGGGGGGCGGCACCCATGGCTGTAGGGCTCCGAGGCCCTGCTCCGGCGTGAGACGGCGTGGGGCCTTGCCTAGTCTGTGGCAGGGAGTCGGCAGAGGGGTGGGCGGTGGCCCTCCTGCGTGCGGCCTGCACTGTGCGCATGCGCCCCGCATCTGGAGCGTCTGGACTCGCTGGGTCAAGGCCGAGGGTCGTAGGATGGTGGGCGGCCGCAGGCCTCAAGCTTGGCCCTCTGCCTTGAGGTGGTATGGGAGAGTTAGCCGATTCCTCACCCCGCCCCCAGTCCCTTGTCCTCCATCACAGCTTTTGGGTTTCTTGGCTCATCTGGCTGTATAAGCCTGGCGCTTCCTCACTAGCTTTAGATAGGGTGGACCAAGAGGGAGGCTGCATCCCGGTGCACTCTGTCCCCCTCTCTCTGATGTTTCTATCTTAAGATCCACCGCCCCTTCTGGCTCCGCCCGACCCTTCTCTTCCCGGCTCACACTGGCTTGCTGAGAGGAGAGACAGTGTGTGGTGAAATAGACATACCTGTCTTGAAATATAATTATATTCGCCTCAAGTATTCTATATATTCCCTTGAATTCTGGACTCGTGGCCATGTGACCAATAGCATATAACTGTTTTACTTTTGTGAGAGGTTATAAGGCACCATAACGTGAATTGCTTGACTTTATGATAATCTTATTAAATCTCTCTTAGAGTTTATCTTTTTAAATGCACAGTGGAAACCACCCCCCATTTTTTTTTTTTTTTTTGCATTTTCAGAATTAGCAGGAACCCAATTGTGTTTCAACTAACTAGGTAGTAGGTAGTTAAATAAATTCGAATGTTTTGTCACAAAAAAGTATTTGAATTGTCATCTTTGAACCTAAATGTAAAAAGTCTAAGTAAAGTAGATATGCAGAGTTTTCAGTTTTAAGGATTGGAGCAGATGTGACAGGTGCAACCTTGTGGGGAAACTAGATATTCTTTGAGGGCTTCTCTAGTCTTAAGAGTCTATATGTATTCACTTGGCTTTGCAAGTAAAGAAGATTTCTTGCTAAGTGATAGCACTTTATTTCTGTATTTTGTTCAATAAGAGGGCTAGAAATGTCTGAAAAAGACAAAGGCAGCTGGCACCTTTCTGTTAATTGGCCCTGCAAACTGAGCCAGTCTCAGTACACACAGTTGTGTTTGCTATGAATTGGAAAACTTCTGTAATAGGGTTGTTATATAGGTGTATTTTCTGCTTTCATTTTCAAAGTATTGGGGAGAAATTCCTGATTGATAATGATTTTTTAAAAAAGACATACTAGCCTACAAATTTTTTGTTGTGATGGGAGGAGTGTTTTGATAGAATTCTTTATCTGAGTTTTGCTTTGTTGTGCTCAAATTTTATTTTTGTTCTTTTACTATTTTTGCATAGTTCTGTACTTGTTTGTGGATTTCTTCATATGATAAATAGTGTTAACCCTGTTTTTACTTTATCTCTTTGAGTTGGATTTCCCCTTGAAATGACTGTTCTTTTTACTTTTTGGGGGGGCCATGTATCCAGGATCAAAAAGATTGTAGTTTGATATACCAATGAATGAGTAGTGGACAAGTAATTATAAACTGTTATATCGTCTAGGAACCTCTGTTCTGCCAAACTTACTGCTTATTTTCTGAAAATGATAATATCTGCTTCTTGTGCCTTATTAATGACTAGACAAAGGAACTACTTGTGTATGCTTGTGAGTTCTCCTTTCTTGAATGACCATATCTTGGCTTCACATCGTCAATCAGCTACCTGAGCTTTACAATAAGATGTTTTTGTAAATTAATGTTCTACTGTATTCATTACCTACGATGGCATCAATTCTGTAGTGGGAGCAGTTGGGTGAGATTTGCAACCATTAGGCTACAACCAGGAATAACTAGAGGGAGAACAGAAAACCAAGTGGTGTAGGAGTTCTTTTCCTGCCTTGTCTCTTCCACTTACAGATAGATTGAAAATTGTTAGCTTGTGGGACTCTTAAAAGTCTGTGCTCAGGCCCGGCATGGTGACTCATGCCTGTGATCCCAGCATTTTGGGAGGCTGAGGTGGGATGATTGCTTGAGGCCAGGAGTTCAAGACCATCTTGAGCAACATAGCAAGACCCTATCTCTAAAAAAATAATTAGTGGGGCATGATGGCATGCGCCTATAGTGCCAGCTACTCAGGAGGCTGAGGCAAGAGGATCATACCCAGGAGTTTGAGGTTGCAGTGAGATATGATGATATTGGCTCACTGAGTTAGGCATATCCTTCAAATCTTGACACCTATCATCATATATCAAAATTTCACATTTGTTAATATCACCACTACTCTCATAAGAGAAGTTTTTAAGCACTGGGAATTGTGAATCTCATGGTGGCAGATAGAAGTTATCCAAAATTCAAATATTTGCTTGAGAGCTTGAATTTTATCATTGGTAACAAATACTGTCAGTTTTTCCTTGAAGTGAAAAGCTCCCTTATTGAATTTTGAGAAAAGGTCTGCCAAGTACTTAAGCCTGCATAATCATAGTTTGTCAGTTCTTTAAAGTAAAAATAATGTTTCGTAATAAAAGCCGCTAGTTTAACTTGCAATTAAGTTGCACAAATGCTTTTTGTCGAGATAACTGTTATTCTTTGATACATGGCAGGAGTTATGTATATTTCCTCTTTCATAATGTAGAATACTAGAAAGAAGGGTTGAAATTTAATAAAATTAATGTTTTTTTTTTTTTTTTTGGGCGAGTTTCCCCCTCCTCCAGCATGAGCTA